AAATAAATTATTTGGAATAATAGGCAAAGAAGGACTCCCACCAAATTCCTTTTATGAAACAAATATGGTAATGATACCTAAACCAGGAAGAGCAAAAACAGAGAAAGAAAATTACAGCTCAATTTTAATAATGAATATGGATGTAAAAATCCTAAATAAAATACTAGCTAGGACACTAAAACAATATATCACAAAAGTTATACATTGTGACCAAGTGAGATTTATACCAGGAATGCAGAGATAATTTAATGTAAGGAAAATTATTAACATAATTGATTATGTCAATAACAAAAGTAACAAAAATCATATAATTATATAATAGATGCAGAAAAAGCTTTTGACAAAATGCAACACATTCCTATTAAAAACACTTGAAATCATAGGTGTAAATGGATTTTTCCTTCAAATCATAGGAAACATCTCCCTAAAACCATCAAGAAGCATTAGGGGATAAGCTAGAGGCCTTCTCAATAAGAACAGAAGTGAAACAAGGATGCCTATTAACATTAATATTATTCAATACTGCATTAGAAATGCTATTAATAGCAATAAGGGAAGAAAAAGAAAGTGAAGGAATCAGAATGGGTAATGAAGTAATAAAACTATCTCTCTTTGCTGGTGATATGATGATATACTTGGAAAATTCTAGCAAGTACACTAAAAAAAAACTAGTTAAAACAATAATTTTAGTAAAGTAGCAGGATACAAAATAAACCCAGTTAAATCACTGGAATTTCTATATATCACCAACAAAACCCTGCAAGAAGAGATAGTAACAGATACTGCATTTAAAATAAACATAGACAGCATAAAATACTTGGGAGTATACCTATGAAGACAACCCTAGGAACTACATGAATATAATTATAAAATACTTTTTATACAAATAAAGTCAGATTTAAATTAATTGGAGAAATATTAATTGTTCATGAGTGGGCAGAGCTAATATAATAAAAATGACAATTCTACCTAATCTACTTATTCAATGCCATTCCAATCAAATTACCAAAAAATTATTTTATTGAGCTAGAAAAAATGATAAAATTCATTTGGTAGAATAAAAGGTCAAGAATATCAAAGGAATCAATGAAAAAAAAAGTAAAGAAAGGAGGTCTAGCAGTACCAGATCTTAAACTGGTAAGGTGGTAAATTATCAAAATTATTTGGTACTGGCTAAGAAATAGAAAAGTGGATCAGTGGAACAGGGTAAACATACAATATACAGAAGCAAACAATTGTAATAACCTTGTGATTGACAATGTAAAGATTTAAGCTTTTGGGACAAAAAGTCACTATTTGGTAAAAAAAAATTGTTGGGAAAATTGGAAAGCAGTCTAGCAGAAACTAGATATAGACCAATATCTTACACCATTTACTAAGACAGGGCCAACATGGATACATGACCCAGCCATAAAGGGAGATATCATAAGTAAATTAGAAGAATATGGAACATACTACCTGTCAGATTTATGGATAAGAGAAGAATTTATGAATAAGCTAGAGATAAGAAAGTATTGTGAGATGTAAAAAGGATAATTTTGATTACATTAAATTAAAAAGTTTTTGTATAAATAAAACTAATTTACCCAAGATTAGAAGGAAAGCAGAAATTTTGGGGGACAATTTATAGACAGTTTCTTGGATAAAGGTCTCATATCTCAAATATATAGAAAACTTTTTCAAATTTTTAAGAATGGGAGCCATTCCCCCCCAATTGATAAATGGTCATAGGATATGAATAAGCAGTTTTTAGATGAAGAAATCAAAATTTTACATAGTCATATAAAATGCTCTAAATCATTATTGATTAGAGAAATGCAAATTAAAGCAACTTTGAGATATCATCTCATACCTATTAGATTGGCTAAAATGATAGAAGGGGAAAATGACAAACATTGGAGGGGACATGGAAAAATTGGGGTGCTGATACACTGTTGGTAGAAATGTGAACTGATCCAGCTATTTTGGAAAGCAATCTGGAATTATGCCCAAAGAGTAATTAAACTGCCTATATCCTTTGATCCAGTAATACCAGTATTAGGTCTGTTTCCCAAGGTGATCAGGGAAAAAGGAAAAGAACCTATATGTTCTAAAATATAAGTAGCTCTCTTTGTGGTGGCAAAGAACTGGAAATTGAGGAGATGCCCATCAATTGGGGAATGACTAAACAAGTTGTGGTATGTGATTGTGATGGCATACTACTGCGCTGTAAGAAATGATGAGCAGGTTGATTTTTAGAAAAACATGTAAAGACTTGCATGAAATAATAATGAGTGAAATGAGCAGAACCAAGAGAATGTTGGACACAGTAACAGCAATAGTGTTCGAAGAATAACTGTGAACGACTAAGCTATTCTGAGTATTATAAATATTGAAATGAACTACAAAAGACTTGAAGATGCCAATCACCTCCAGAGAAAGAACTGATAAATAAAAGTATGCATAGTGTGGTTTTACATGTATATACATATATATACCTATATATACAAACTATATATTTTAAACATATGTTTATACACATATAAACATATGTACACACAAATATATGTGTGTGTATGTATATCTATGTATATATCTGTGTCCAATGGTGGCCTTCTCTAGTGTGGGTTGGGGAGGAAGGCAGAGAGGGAGGGATGAAGACAGCTTGGAATTTAAAATAAAACAAAAAAGAAATTTAATTTTTAAAATGTTACTGAAAAGACTAAAAACATTGAAGCCTACAGTCTAGAGTTGTGAGCTACCTACAGCAAATGAGTTTTCTTCCCTTTTGGTTTTCCCTGCCAGTTTCCTAAAAATGTGTGCCCACCCTTCACCATTGATATTAAATACATAGGTGGGAGAGTATCATCTATGTTTAATATGAGTATTTGGATGTATTTATCATTTAAGCCTTTCCTTTAACATATTAGTAGCTATAATATTATTTATTTCATCTTATTGTTAAATAAATGGTTATGTTTAAGAAAAAATGTAAAAGGTTAACTTATATACTAGGATATGTATTTATACATACATATATACATAACAAATACATACATATATATTACACAAAAATGAGGTAGTTTTTGACCAATGACAACAGAAATATAGTCTCCTGTGAAGCTTCTTGTCCTGGCTGTGCTGCTCCACGCCTCCCTCTGTGCTCTAACAGAGCATTCTTCTCTGAACATGTCCCTTGGTATCAACCCTTTAGCTTCTCTAAGAAAGTACATTTAGAAGGCATGAGTAAAAAAATACCTTAGAGTTCTTGAAAACAGGCAAGGTGGTAAAATGCCAAGTCCACTAAACCTAGGCTCACCTTCAGTTCACCTGCTGCCTGGATCACTTTGGATAAGGTACCCTCCCTCTTCTATTTTTGTGGCTTTATCAGTGAGATTATACTTTCTCCCTGTCTTCCTGTATTTGAGGGATTTGGTGAAGACCAAGGCTGCATATTTTAAGGCACCTCCTCCATGATGGAAATAGGCCCAGGCCCTGATTAGTTCCTGAATAATAACGTCATGAGCAGTTATGGCCTTTAATGAACACTTTGTTTTGACAAGGCTTTACCAAAGCAGACCTTTCCAGGGCTAATCATGCACTATATCACTACAGCATTCTAAGGGTTCTAAGCCCGTAGGTAAGTTGTATTGAAAGCAGGAGTAAGCAGCATTCTCCCTCTCCCCTCTTAGAGCCAGGTAGCATTAGCCTAGAGTGTATACACCCTTCTAGTTAAGCTTCTTTTGATTCTAAGGCCTTGGCTAGAAGTTGTAACTTTTCAACCCAGAATTTCTAAGACATAATAGGAACAGTATGGGCACTGGGGAAAGAGTCACCTTAGTTCTAGTTGGTTATGTTGGCCTGAAAAGGAGATTGGAGTTAGAAATATTAGCAGGAAGTCTAAACCAGTCATTTATGTTCTTTGAGGTCCTAATGCCCTTAGGGCTGGAAATTCACAAATACCCCAAACCATAATATAAGCAGGCTTTCCTTGCTTCTCCATTCCCCTTTGGTGGGGGCACAGAAAGACCTTTATAACTAAAATTGGAGTCAGCATTTAAAACCTACTTAAAAAAATAAGTGAACCCTTGCTCAGGAGCCATTTGGACACATGTGCTTCTGGTGTCTTCAGGACTTACAAAAAACTATCTGTGTCCCGTTGACCAACTGGGATTGTGTATGTGTCTAGCAAACAGATCGTGGGCGTTTTCAGTGAGTGATATTTTGGCTCCAGGACAGCTAGAGTTTTGGTCCTTCACAGATGAGGAGTCAGGAGTGTGTTCAAAGCCCTGTCCCAATAGGAAAGTCATTATAGATGGAGGGAGCAGGAGAACTACAGGACCTCTTTTCTGTGGTATGGGGATGGAGATGTAGCAACTCATTTCTGAACTCCAGAATCTATTATATTTGCATATTTAAAAATCACTAATCCTCTGATTTCATAAATCAATTTCTTCTTTGGGTTATCCCCTTTCTTTCTCTGTTATTTTGAGGTTTTATTTCAACTCAGGGAAAATTCTAAGGGGTGAGATGTTCTAGTCATCAGGGCAGATGCTACAGAGCACTGAAGTGTCACAAGTACTAGCGCAATCTACACACACACACACACACACACACACACACATACACACTCACACATACATACAGACTTATGGATACAAAGAAGCCTAGAGAGGAAGTAAAAGGATTTCCGCTCAGCAGCTCTTCAGTGGCTGCATATGCTGGAGTTGCTCCATGAAGCCACTGGGACTCATGGAGACCTGCCTAGAAGGGTAAGGAGCCTTGAAGACCTTCTGTTCAGGTTGAAAGTTTGTCTTTTCTCCTCTTAAGCTGGTTCTCATGGGAGAATTGTGAGATTGTGGGCCCTCACCTTCAGGGTGTCAGCCCTCAGAGAGAAAGGTCAAATTTCTCCTTCAGGTTACTTAATTTATTAACATTATATATTAGCATATACAGAGTAAATGCCTATTTCTGTACCAACCATGAATAAAAATTAGATTATAGGATGGTGGCCACTCTTATCACTCCTCTTCTATAAGATGCCATAAACTGGCAAAACTCATGAAGACTTCCTCCACGGAGATCTGACTGATGGAGTAGTCATCCAGTTCGTACTGATCTTTGTTTTTCTCCAAGATACCAAACACCTTTGGGGCAACAGATAGTAACTGTTATAAAGTTTTCTGCAGGCAAGGTGGGGAAAACTCAGAGTTTTTGGTTCCTAAGGATGTCGGGCAACAAAAGTTAAGGGACTGGAAAGGAAGGGGCCTTGGAAAGGGAAAGACCTTTTTTATGTCTTTGCTGAATACAAAGCATGAAAATAATAGCCTCAGAACCCTTTGATGTGGAAGGAAGCAGAGATGAAAACTCTCCCAGAGATTCTATACCTTGGCCTGCTGTAAACTCCAGGCTAGTAAAGTCCTTCAGGTCATACATCTACTAAGAATGGTGTTCACAAGTCTGTGCTTGGTATACAAGGAATTTAAATCAGTTTGAGGGAATTAGGGCTAAAAAACACTGGCCAGTGTTGCCATGGTAAGTTTTGGAGAAGTACAGAGAGAAATAATATGTGAGAGGATAAGAAGTGGAAGAATTTTCATCCAGGGAAGGTTGAGGGTTCCCCGTGGAGCAGACTGTCATGTTTTCAGATATCTGGGTGGCACACTAGATCATGTGTTCTCTGTGAGGGCAGAACCTTTCTTCTTGAACCCTTCCTCAGAGGCAGAGTCAGGATGGTTGGCACCTGTGAGATCTGGTCTCCTTACTCACCTTTGCCCAGCTGAGGTCCCTGCGAGGCAGGTAGTAGTGAACCATTCCTTGGTGCTCATCCTCTAGGACACTGCCTGACAGAGAGGAAGAAATGTCGCCTGTGAGGGATGGGGCATGGAGAAGGCCATTCCTTGGCACATTTATTTCTCGATCTAGTCTAATAGCTAAAGTCAGTTCAATTATTCATGACACTTGAGGAAAACATAAGAGTGGGTAATACAAAAGATCAGAAATTAAAAAAAAGAACATGAATACCTTATTTATTCAGCAATGTTGAGGGTGAGTCATTTAATTTAACTTAATTTTCCACTTGCCGAAGTTTAACCTTTTAAAAGATAAAACTTAGAACATTTAAGCTATTTATTGATGAAAATTTTTCTAAAGCACACTATAACTTTCTCTATCTTATTAAACAGACTATGTTCAACATAATTAATATTCTTCATTATTCAGGGTCAATTTGGAGAGCCAGGTACTGTGATGCATTAAAGATGTAGCTATAAATGAAGATGGAGAGGTGCTAGAGATAAGGATGCATGGGCATCCAGTCCAGCAGCAGCCTTAGAACTTGCTTTCTTGAAGAAGTCTCTAATATTTATATTTATTTTTTGGTCATTTGGCTCCTTTTCTCACAAAAGGTAGTGTGAAGCATAGACAAATGTATCATCTCCTGGCTTCTCTTTCTGCAAAATTAATTAGTTATTTGAGGCTCAGGTAGTCTTCTCTCTTCCTTCTTATTCTCTAGAAGGAAAATTGTCTTTACTGTGAATTGTACTTTGATTTGCTAGAAAGTACCATTCTAACCACTGGCTATCCTTTCTGCATCAGTAAAACAGTGGACTTTATACATCTCTGCTATCACTTGGATTTTTGATGGTGTGTGAAGCTAGGTATACTTCATTTTGAGAATTCATGGGAGGCTGTCTTAAATGGGGCTTACTCCAAAGCCAACATATTCTCCATTCCCAAAAAAAGATGTTACTTTCACAGATAGGATATAGGTTGCAATTTTCTCTAAGTTCTCCTTAAAGTCCAAGTATGAACAGAATTCTAGGCACAGGGAATACTAAAAACATGTCTTTAATTGTTGTAAAACAATTAAAAGTCCTATATAGGGGACCTGATTATGATGGATCAACGTGATGTGAAATCTATTCTGTAATAATATTTAATGAATTCTGAACAACATCCTGAACCATAGGTAAATCAGTGAAATAATACAGGGGGCAGGAAAATGACAAAACATATTTCCAGAAACTAAAGCTGCTTCCTCAGGATGAACTCTATGAATGCCTAGGAATAAAAGAGCTTTTCAATTTGATTAAATTAAATTCAATCCAATCTATTCTAATGCAACCCAGTAGGGCATTTGCTCAGACAATGCAGAGCTATTCTAGTTCTCTTTTTGTAGCTGACTCTTTTTCCAATTAAACTTCTCATAGTTTTCAGGAGGGTGTTCACTCTGTCTCTTTTCTTCTTTTTTTCCTTCTTATGTCTCTTGATTCCTTGTCCTGCCGCTTCTCTTTCTTCTCAGCTTTTGTGCCAGATGGCTTGTCTTTCATTACCTGTATCAACCAACGAAGACTTTCTTCCTTCTGCTTGGCAAACTGAGCAACCATATTGGATGTTAATTTCTTCTCAGCTGTTTTTGTCTTACTCATTGCTCAGGGGCTGGTCCTCTGCTGACTAAGATGCTTTAAAAAGTAACAGCTCTACTAGCATCCCTTTGTCTGGTTAGCAGTCAGAGATGGGCGCAGAAATCAGAAAGAATGTTAGGTTTTAAATTTATAGTTTTCCATGGTTGAGGTTGCCAGAAGGCTGACTTCAAGAGAAATGAGGAATCACAGTGTGTCTTTTTGCTTTGGAAGACATTGTGTGATTGCTTTTCTGAGAAAAGATTTATGTTCCCAGTGATGCTTGGCTTTTGCTTCTTGTTTTCCTTGATAGCATGCTTCCTGGTTAGCCAGAAAAGGCAGAAAGGGTGTATTTGGTGGCAGATGAAAGTCAACCTGGGATTTAAAACTAATCAAAGCTAAACAGCACTTGGATAAGTAAGAAATAATTAAGAATATAAAAAAAACATCAAAATAATTTAGAGTCTCTAGTTATATTCATAGGGATGGGAAAATGCTCAAAGGGGACCCTTTGCTGAAGGGGGTCCAGTTAGAGCCTCTCACACTCTTTTCTTTTTCAGGAACATCCCAGGTCAACATGACCAGTTAGGGGGTTAGACAGAAGATTTTTGCTTCTTGAGGCTCAAACTACTTTACCTGGGAATGTCTCTTTGATGAACTTCTTGAATGTCTCCATGTGGTCCTTTGGGATGTTATGTTTGATCTTGGCCTGCAGAGTATATCCACTCCCATACCTGCTTTTGAGGTGCTGTGGGCTGCCCATGCATTTGAACTGCCCATTCACCATGATGGACAGCCTGGTACATAAAGCCTCACACTCTTCTACGCTGGAGAGACAAGAGCCAGGAGGAAGAAGCTCTGAGACACCCCTTGTAGAACAGGGGCTGTGGCCAGACAGAGCCAGGCCTCTATGTTCTATTTCTTCAGATGGCAGGCCTGGCACTTGGCCTGGATTGGTAAACGTTAACACTGGAAGAGCCAAAAGCACTTGACAAATAAAGGAACAAATACCTAAATATAAGATGCTTCTTCTCTGTTCTCCTTCTCTCTCTAGCACCACCTCCCCCCACCCCCCATGCTACTCCAGAGCACAGAACTTCATAGAAGAGGTATGCTCAATATCAGAAGAACCTGACATTTCCCCCCCTCCACCCCAAGAGTTTCCATGTCTAACAACTCAGCTTCCCTCAGAAGTACAAATAAAGACAATGACCCATGTTCACAGCCTTTGTTCCTCACTACAGTTTTTGCCCAGCCCTCCAAAGAACTGAACAAAGCATGGACCCTACCTATGAGAGGTGATGACTATGGTTTTTCCAGATTCATGACTCCGTGTCACTGTATCCCAGAGCAGGCGTCGGGCTACGGGGTCCATGCCTGTGGATGGTTCATCCAGGAAGACAACTGAGGGATCTCCGATCAGGGCAATACCAGTGCTCAGCTTACGCTTGTTGCCACCACTATATGGAAAGGCAGATAGAGAAAGATGGAGATAGCTATTCTCTATCTAGGAGCATCAATTTCTAGGTTCCATGGTAGAACAAAGGAGAGGTATATAAGGCAAATCCCTAAGGATCACATTAGGATGGTGAACCATGAACTCATAGCTCCCTACACAGTAAATCTATATTAACTGCAATAAAATTAAAGGTCATTGAACATTGAAAAGTCAAAGCAAGTATAACCTAATGGAGATGAACTGGGGAATGGAAGTGAGAAAGTAACACAGTAGATAGAATGCTTGACATGGAAGTTAAGAAACCTGATTTTGAATCCTGCCTCAGACATTTACTAACTCTGTGACTGTAGGCAAATCATTAATCTCTTTTAATCTCAGTTTCCTCATACGAAAAATTAAGGGGTTGTACTCAATGGCCTCTAAGGTCACTATCAGCTTTAAATATATGATTCTATGATAGATTAAAGTTGTTGGAGAAGAGTAAATATGACTATGAATAAAGGACATTCAAAAGATATAATGTATCTAAACCTTCAGAAAGCCCTTGACAATGTTCTATATCAAAGACTTTTAAAAAATTCAGCAACTACAAAATAAAAAAGGCTATTTTGTGACAACTGGGGAACAGGTTAGCAATGATAGGGATAAATGGACAAATGTCTTAATGGAGTGGTATAAACAGTAGGATTCCTTAAAGATTGTTGCTGGAATTTGTTTTGTATTTTAATAAATAATTTGTAACACAAGCCATGTGGTCCAATGCTTAAATTTGTAGATGATTCTGTTTCTGTGGAATAAATAAAGAAGATCTCATAAGGATTTCTGAGTTTGCAGAAAAGTGAAAACTACTCTGAGATTGTGAGATAACAACAGGGAGCTTGTCAGATACCCTAGAATGTTTTGGTGGGGTTTTTTTGAGGCCATTTGGGTTGACTTGCCCAGGGTCACACAATTAGTAAGTGTCTGAGGCCAGATTTGAACTCAAGTCCTCTCGACTTCAGGGCTGGTGCTCTATCCTCTGTACCACCTAGCTGCTCCCAGAGTGTCTTTTGATGTTGGATAATATGTATTTTGTGTGAAGGGTCATCATCCCTGTTGGTGAAACTTGAAAATCCTAGACTAATATGCTTTTTTGGCCATAATCATAAAGATTATTAGAGACAAAAGAGAGAACTTTATGCTATCCTTTTTTAAGGATAGGGGAGACATGGATTTGTTTGTATGAAGCATGGAAGAAGCCAGTATGTAGGAAGACTTTGAAGATTAGCAAGAAAATGGGGATAATAATGGGAGGTAATCTGCTGGAGATATTAGAGGATGAGACAATTGAAGAAGGCCTTGGCAAGAAGGGGCACCTATTCATCAGAGAGAAGAATGGAGGAAAAGATAGTGGGGGATGGTATAGGAGAGTTATGAGATGGGGAAAAGAGGGAGTTCTTGGCGAATAGCTTCAATTATTCTTGTAAAGTATGAAACAAGGAACTCAGCTGAGAGAATGAAAGAAGGGGTGATATGGGATCTTGCTACAGTGAGGCTATAGTCGAGATTAGATAACACAATATTGTTGTGGGAATCCAGTCATCAGTTCTTCCAGCTACACTGAACAGCAGCTAGGGAGGAGCAAAGTAAGTAGGCAGTGGAAGTAATCTAGGGTTGGGGTTTTGTGAGATATGATCATCAATAGGATAAGGGAGTAAAGGATTCAACAGTAGAGGATAGCATAAAGTTGATTTGGTTCACCAAGTGGTTGATGTTGGAGCTAAGGAAGGGGCAATGGCCTCAGAAAGTACTAAGGGAGCAAGGGATAGTTTACCTGTCAGATTTATGGAATGGAAGAATTTATGAAAAAACAAGAGACAGAGAACATTATGAAATGCAAAATGGATAATTTTGATTACATTAAATTGAAAAGTTTTTGCATGAACAAAGCCAATGCAACTAAGATTAGAAGGGAAGCAGAAAGCTGTGAAATAATTTTTACAACCAGTGTCTCTGATAAAAGCCTCATTTCTAAAATATATAGAGAACTGAGTCAAATTTATAAGAATACAAGTCATTTCCAAATTGATAAATGGTCAAAGGATATGAACAGGCAGTTTTCAGATGAAGAAATTAAAGCCATCTATAGTCATATGAAAAAATGCTCTAGATCAGTATGGATTAGAGAAATACAAATCAAAACAACTCTTGAGGTATCCCATCATACCTAGCAGACTGGCCAACATGACAAAACAGGAAAATTATAAATGTTGGAGAAGATGTGGGACTAATGCATTGTTGGTGGAGTTGTGAAATGATCCAACCATTCTGGAGAACAATTTGGAACTATGCACAAAGGGCTATAAAACTATGTATACCTTTGACCAAGCAATACTACTTCTAGGTCTGTATCCCAAAGAGATCACAAAAATAGGAAAAGGACCCACATGTACAAAAATATTTATAACAGCTCTTTTTGTGGTGGCCAAGAATTGGAAGTGGAGGGGATGCCCATCTATTAGGGAATGGCTGGACAAGTTGTGGTATGCAAATGTGATGGAATGATATTGTTCCGTAAGAAATGATGAGCAGACAGACTTCAGAAAAAGTTGGAAAGATATACATGAACTGATGCTGAGTGAAGTGAGCAGAACCAGGAGAACATTGTACACAGTAACTGCAACGTTGTGCGATGACTAACTTTGATAGACTTAGCTCTTTTCAGCAACGCAAGGATCTAAGACAACTCCAAAAGACTCATGATGGAAAATGCTATCGACATCCAGAGAAAGTACTATGGAGTCTGAATGAAGATCAAAGCATACTATTTGCTCTCTCTCTCTCTCTTTTTGTTGTTTCTTCTTACTTGTGGTTTCTCCCATTGGTTCTAATTCTTCCTTACAACATGACTAATGTGAAAATATGTTTAACATGAATGTATATGTATAGCCTATATCAGATTGAACACTGTTTTTGGGGGGGAGGAGAGGGAAGGGAAGGGAAGAAAATGTAGAAAACTAAAAATAAATAAATAAATAAATAAGAGTTCAAAGAAAAAAGAAAGAGGACTTAAATGTACAAAAATATTTCTAACAGTTTTTTTGTGGTGGCAAAGAAATGGAAATTGAGGGGATGCTTATCAGTTGGAAAATGACTGAACAAGTTATGGTATATGATTGTGATGGAATATCATTGTGTTATAAGAAATGAGCAGGGTTGTTTCAGAAAAACCTGGGAAGATCTATATGAATTGAAACAAAATGAAGTGAGCAGAATCAGCAGATCACTGCTCACAATGTATATAGCATTGTATATGTTGTACAGCAATATCGTAACAATGATCAACTATGAAAACTCTGATAAGTACAATAATTCAAAACAATTCCAGAGTACCCACGATGAAAAACTTATCGACCTCTAGAGAAAGAACTGATGAACTTTGAATGCAAACTGAAGTAATTTTTTAAATTTTATTTTTCTTGCTTTTTTGTTTTGTTTTTACAACATGGCTAATATAGAAATATATTTTGCATGACTTCACATGTATAATCTATATCATATTGCTTGCCTTCTTAGTGGGTGGGGAAAGGGCTGAAGGGAGGGAGAGAATTTGGAACTCAAAATAAAAAAAATGTTAAAAAATATATAATAATTTTTAAAAAAAGAAAGTGCTGAGGGTAGAGAGATTGGAGGTTATGGTGAGGATGAAGGATAGGGTTGGGGACAGCAAATGATGGAATGATAGAAGGGAGAAAAGGCCTTTGCTTTTGTGTTTTGGCTAACAAGATTGCTTCAAAGATAGATGATCAAAGGTGTAGGGCCTATGGATTGAACTGATAATACAAGATTGTCCCAAATAATTTAGAGATTAGGTAAATGACCTAAAGCTATGGTTGTTCCTGTTGAAGTATGAGTAGCAAGAAAAATTCCCCAGTTACTTCGAGTTGATGCAGTTGTTCAGGCACATAAAGAAAAAGATAAGGACAAAGAGGTTAGTTAGTTGGAGGCAATAAAGGTTGGCCCCAAGTGACTCTAGGACATCTCAAGTATGTGCCATGGAGATTAAAGGACAGATCAATTCAGATCAACTAGAATTCACTGTAGAAGCTTGGACCAAGGCTAATGGAAGATGGACCAGTGTACAGAGCTAACTCCTAGAGGGACAAAAGGGAAACATTTGAGATCTGAGGTTGAAGTGGTCCTTCATGAGAATGTAGCCAAAGTGGATAACTTAATGATTTACTACAACGATGGACAAGATAGGCACATGCATGCTGATATACTTGAGAGAAGAATATCGTAGTGCTTTTTACAGAAGCTTAAGAATGACAAGAATAACATCTGGAAATTGAAACGAGGGCTATGTCAGGCTGCTTAAAAACTAAATCTATGTACAACTAAACTTCCTGGATCCTATCTTAAGCTCATGGGACTTAGGTACAACAAAATCAGCTTGATAAGTATAAAATGAGGTTGGGAGGTGGTTAAACAGAAGTTGTTCTAGAAAAGATATAGAGGTTTTAGTGGCCTGCTAGCTCAATATCAGTCTGTAGTATTGTATGGCAGCCAAAAAACCCTAACTTGATCTTGGACTGCATTAAGAGGCTTATAATGTTCTTCTGGAGACCTCTTTTCAAAACAACATAGAACCATTCACAGCTATTCCTTGAGTCTGGCCATTTAGCTAGTTCTAAATTCATCTAACAATATCTAGTTTATGTCTCTCTATTTTTCCCACAAGAATGGTATAAAAAGCACTTTATTAAAATGCTTTGCTGAAAGCTGGGTAAATGATGTCTATGGTGTTTTTATCTACCAGTTCAGTCACAATGTCAAAAAAGGAAATGAAACTAGTCTGGTATGACTTGCTCTTGATAAAGCCATGTGGCTCTTTGTAATCCTTATTCCTTTTCTAGATGTTTACCAATCATCACTTTAATGATCAGATTTATAATTTTCCCAGAAATTAAAGTCAAGCTGGTCTAAAGTTTGCATTTTTCTCTTCCTTTTTTGTTGTTAAGA